GAGAGAGAGAGAGAGAGAGAGAGAGAGAGAGAGAGAGAGAGAGAGAGGAGGAGGAGGATGTGACGGCGTGTACCTGGTCTTGGCGATGGTCTACAGGGTCGACATATTCATGTACTTCGGTTGTTGCTGCTGACGTCAACAGGATGCATTGTCAATCTGTAGGCTGCTAGTAGCTGTGTGATCATTGTTATGTTGGTGGTGGCGAGAGTGTGCTCTCATTGACATTCGGATTTGGTACTTCAGTTCTCCGTTGGTGGATTTTCGGTGCATTTCTGCTTTCCGGAGAGCGTAAGACTTTCTCGCTTTCAATGTGATATTGCATTCTGGAATTCTGTCATTTCGCTATCGCTCATTGTCCTTGCAATCTTCCGAGCGCAGAAGATCTCTGAAGTTGGAGTACTTTTTCTCCTGCGAAAATCGCTTTGGCCCACACGTGGCAGGGGGAAAACGAAAAATACGCCAAATTGGTGCAATGACTAGGCTACCAGAGTGGCCCGGGACCACTTGCCCAGCCGGGCCAATTTTTTTTTTTTTTTTTAATTTTGGAAAATATATCTTTTGGTAAAGAATTTGGATGTGACCCCGAGGTAAAAGTTGTTGAGTTTATTTTTTCTGCATAACATGGTTTTTTGCAGATTGTAACTGATTGTTTCAATTTTTTTTTTTATTATTAATTTTTTTTTTGCTGAAAGCCTAAGACCTACTTTGGCCCTTGCACAGCTGGGCCGCCCGGGAAAACAAGGTCACCCGGGCGGCCCGGCTGGTAGCCTAGTGCAACGATTATTTCATGGTCAATTTTTTTTTTTCTCATTTTCCTGATATTTTTCCTGGAAAGATCAGGACCTAATCTACAGGACCTTGAAATTTTAAAATTTTGAATTTTTCTGGGCATTCTTTTCAGTGTGAAACATCGCAACAGTTGGCACTCTTTTTTTTTTGAATTGCTGCCGACCTCCGCTTTCCTCGGGCCTACGGGCTCCGAAAGGCCCAGAAAGCCAATTTTGATTGCCGCGGGGAGTGGTGGTTTAAAATATAACCTCCCTCATCACCAAAGGATAAGAGCCTATTAAGAGGCTATTAAAAAAAGAAAGAAAAACGAAAGGGACGAGAGGTCATCAGGCAACCCTAACCGCAGGCTACTGTTTTTTGTTGTTTCGTTTCTTGGGAAACTGCAGGACAGACAGGAAGGAGGAATAAAACGAGGGCGTTATCCATCAGATGTAACACAGTTACGCGGAACCCAAATGGTTTTTCACACAGCCTGACTTCCTGTCCAGCAAAGAAGTGTGGGTAAAAAGCATGGTCACGATGCGGATGTCCGGAGCCCAGTCCGAACTGTCCGCGTCTGGATGTCCGGGCGTACTTCCAGTCCGGGATTAAAAAAAAAAAAAAAAAAACGTTCAAGTCCAACAAGCCCAGCCCTCAAAAAATTGTTTTGGGATTTATTAACTATTTTCGGTCCCTTTCAGAAAGCCAAAGAGGGCCGGGCTGTGACTGATGCTGATTTAGAGAGAGAGAGAGAGAGAGAGAGAGAGAGAGAGAGAGACAGAGAGACAGAGAGA